GATATATCCTCTCTAGAATTTTGCTAGATCCTCCAGGACAATACTATAGTAACTTCTGGTATAAGTCATTCATTTCAGTAGGATTCACTGGAGGACTTATAAAGTCTTAGAGAGGATACATTTTGTTAGATGCAGTTAGGTAAAATTGGTCCCACAGGCATAAGGGAGGTACATATGTATCTATTTCTTTAGGAAATGGCTAAACATTGCAGGGTGATACTAAATATATGCAGCAAAAACAGGAAGCCCTGGGACACAGTAAGATGACCAACAATATCAACAATTTCCCCCAACACCATAATACCAGGTGATTGTTAGGCTATCTCTATTCTGAAGTAATGTCCTATTCAGCAAGACATGCCTGCACTATTTTTTAAAAAATCATGTTGAGGAAACAGCACATTAACTTCTTGTGAAGTTGAAAATATTCTCTACCCAACTGTTAAACAGAAAGAAATACACAAAGTAAAAGTGTTGAGCTTTCCAAAGGATAGAAAATGCCTGATCTTAATGAGGGATAATATGGAAGGGATAATAAACAGGAGATCATGGAACCTTCCACCTGAAAAGGATTAATTAATAGTTTCCAAAAGCTGTTTACTTGTCATTGGCACAAAACACTCCCATTTGAGTATGTGTTGCCATAATACTAGGAGGTAGCCTGGAAGGATGGTCTGAAAAACCAACTCAGGTATGATTATTCAATATAAGAGTGTGTCTGCAACTTGCATGCTGTGAAAGAGTAACCTAGACTCAAAGAGGATCAGAATGAAAAAGGGAAGGCAGAAGAAGGCATACAATAGGGTCACATGAAGCATCAGTCACTCTGGTCCGAGCTGCAATTAGGGTAAAATCGGGGGGGGGGGGGACATGCGACAGGTGGTAATCCATAACAAAATTGTTAAAGAAGAAACAAACTACAAAATCAAGACAGTTATTCAATTCAAAATGAAATACTGTTGTGGAAGTCTGTTCCATGAATATGAATATCCTACTTTATTTTTTATTTATATTCCATTCTCCTATTGAAAGGCACTATACTTTAAATTCGATCTTTCAGTTCTAGGATTCAGTCTATGGTCCGTGGGAAGGCATTCTAGGGACGTAGGATAGTTAAAATCTCTGCTTCCAGGGGCAGTTTACCATTTGAGAATGATTTCTGACCTCAGGATGTCCCCTCAAAGCCACCAGATACCCCTGAGGCCCTGCTGTGCCTCTCTGACATCCACATTCCAGCATAATGCAATCATGGGTAATTCATGGGCTAAAAGGTAGAAAAACAATTCTCCTACAAGTTGTGTGAGAGCTACAGCAGTAAATACAGGTAAGGAAAGAAATAGATGAAGAGAGATGTCATGGGTGGATCCAAGTCCACAGGGAAGCATCTAGGAACCAGGTGAGCTCTGAATACTTCAGGTCTACAGCCTCTCCTGATCCACCCCATGGCACATCTCTCTCAATTTTTCTTCTATCCTATGTCCTCGAGCCCCTCCAAGAACATTAGAGAACTGGCCAACTAACTTCATGGCAATTCTACCATATGTGAGCCAAGCAATTTACCTCAGTTAAAGATTATATTGCTTCCGTTTGGTCCCACCAAACTTTGAAATCACTTTCAAAGGCATCTCCGCTCATTTGTGAAATGAACTACAGTACAAAAAGTATGAAACGTGGAGGGTAACATTCCTGAAGGAATTGAATTAAATTATGTAACACGATTTTTGTTCCTGGGTTATAAATGTAATCTCCTAATTGGTTCTATCATAAAACATAGGGAAAGTTTATTAAACTTCAAAAAAATTGCTTTTGTGGGACATCCTGCAGCACATTTTGATATAGTTTTTCATAGAGTCTCAACCAATTCAACATAGTTTGTGGCAGTCACAAAAATGAAGTTTCTGGAGTATAACAACTACTTTCAAAGTACGTACCACACAATTAAATAGGAATAACGCTTTCAAACCAAGAACAGCAAATGTTTCAAATGTTGTTAAATGGTGTTATTTGGGAAATGTAAGTACTCTGATGGAGTAGCAGCAGCAAAAGATTCAAGAACAGTAAGTATAAAGTATAAGACTGGGCACAAGAAATTATGAAAACAGAAAATTGTTCATTTTAACCAGAGCTGAGAAGAAAGAACCAAATGAATGGTGAAATGATGAAAGAATCTAAGATACAAGATTGTGCAAAATACAAAACAACCCCTTCACACACAAAAGAATCGGAAAAGCACCGAATCCAAAAAGAACTATGAAATTGTAGGGACCCCCCATAGAACAACCTGAGGCAATCATCAATAATGTAATACTGATATTGAAGAGACGCAAAAGGTCTATAATATAGTGGATAAAGCAGCTCAGATGCACAACCATGCATAATATCATGCATGACATTATTTTTACGCAACTAACAAGCAAGCACAATCAAATACCTCCTCAGGGTTGATTATATCACTTCAAAGGTCTTGAGTAAAGGCATGAGCATATTTGCAGTTTTGGCAGATTTCTTTGGTTCCTATATTAGTAGAGCATGTTTCAAAAGTTGTGGTCATATGAACAAAAACAAACCACATTAACATTTTTCAAGTAAGGTTTAATAATAATAATAACTCTATTTGTATCTCCTTAAAGGGACTCAGGGTGGTTTCTAACATATAAGGCAAACATTCAATTGCTGGAAAGAAAACCATACAGACAATTACATCAAAATAAACACATTCAACAATATAACATAACTTAATTTAACTTAAAAAACAAAATAACAACTAAAAACATCATAAAATATCAAAATCCTATTAAACACACCAAAAATATATGAAAACCCCATTTCACTGTAGCTCCATCAGTAGAGGTTCAACAAACCAATGGTCAGGATTACAAAATGAACGTGGCCAACTATAAAAGGGCTGGGCAAGGGATAGTGCAAACAGCGTATCATAGAGCAGGGGAAGTCGATGAAGTGCAGGACAGAGTGCTATCTGGCTATCTAGGGACTAGGCCTAGAGACTAAGAATGAGCTGATATGGTGCAGTGGTTTGAGCATTGGGATACAATTCTAAACAACAGGGTTCAAATCCCTGCTCTAGACAACAGGGTTCAAATCTCTCAGCTTCGTTGGAAACAAAGGCAAACCTCCTATGAAGAAATCTTGCCATGCAAGTCTCAGACAATGGTCAACTACTTCCAAGCAGTCAAAAATTATGCAAATAATGACAAACAACAAAAATAACAAATGTTTATCTTTTTCTATGTCTATTAAACATATTCTGAAGCACAAAGGTTACCAATAATCAAAGAGCTGAACAGATACGTTCTCAAATTTGGAAGTACTGTATATGTACCTTCTTTTTTATTTTACTTCATTTCTGTAACACAGACATGTTATGGTAGACACTGTATCATTTAATATTATTATCCTATGTATACAGTTAATCCTCCATATCCACAGATTCAACTATCTAAGGTTTAAAATATTCTAAACCTTAATTTTACCATTTTATATAAGGGTCACCATTTTACTATGCCATTGGATATAATGGGACTTGATCATAGATATATTTTGGTATCCAGGGAGTGGGGGGCAGGGCGGAATTGAAACCTAGTGGAAACCACTGTGTTGTCTAAAACACCTCAATATTTATAATGTCAACATAATTTTTTATAACACATATAGCTTTTACAGATTTTCTTCTCACGCCAAATTCATTCTGTAGGGGTGTAAAAATTAGAATACAAAGCCTTACAGAGCCAAACATTTTGGGAGGCTGCGTCAAAGAGATTTTTGTGTGTGTGGAAATATGGGAAGCCAACACAAAGTGCAGCATTCTTAGGATGGCACTATTTCAGGATGCTAACAGGCAATAGATACCTGACTGCTTCCCTCTGGCAAAAATCCCCCCCCCCCCAACAGAAAACCTGCTCATCAAGAAAAAATAATTATCACATTTCTCCTGCATGAATTAAATTGCCAAAAGCAGATCATTTCTGCCACAGTAAAGCATACTTTTCCCACAATGAATCGTGTGGGATTTTTTACCAATCTTATAGAGACCAAAACCCTAAAAGACAGAAGTACACTGTTCGAGAAATATGTTTGTAACTATTGAACAACATAGGTAGGGCTATTCAAAAGGTAAATTGACTCTTCCAGAAGCTGCTAAGAAAGGCAATTCAACTCAGGCAAAAAGGTGGGTCTGGAGAGGTCAAGAGTCAAAAAAATCAGCCTTGGGGACCATAAGAAGCCCCAAGGCTATCCCCGCCTTAACTAATAGTGGTTCTCAAAAGAGGAATCCAGCCTCCAGCCCTGCAAATCCTGGTTTTCAAGACATAGAATGAAAGAGAAGCAAGTGGTAGTTTAGGAAAAATGCCTAAAGATAATCCTTCCTCCTCCTTTTTACATTGATAATATAATAACCAGTTAAGTAAGAGGAATGTAGTATGTGAACAGATGCTGAAGAAAAGGACTCTTGCTTAGACATAACAATTATACATACAGCTAAATCACAACTTATTTAACTCAGCATAAAGTAGAAACTGCAAAAGGTTAGAACAAACCTAGTGTAAACTGTGTACGTTCCTGATTACAATATGTATCTTTTTTTGTCATGGTGAACTATTATTATTATTATTATTATTATTATTATTATTATTATTATTATTATGTATTTATACCCCACATAATCTCTCCTGCAGGAGACTCAAGTGGCTAACATAAAAGCATCAGCATATAATTTAAAATATAAAAATATTAAAACAGCATTAAACATTAACAATAATATTAGTTAATAACACACCAGTAACATACTAACTAATGGATTTTCCTGCTTCTGAAAATCTGGCTTTTAGCAATACAAGCATCAATTAAACATACTAAGCTCAATCCATCAAACATAACACAATCAGTCCATTGAGTGGAAATCATGTAAGCAAAATAGCATGTAAGCAAAGGTCTTTCAAATGTCATATTTATATAGATGACCACAAACAAATGAACACTCTTACCTTCATTTTCAGAAGCCTGGCATTTTACCTGTAGCACCAAATCAAAGGTTCTATCAGGGTTTTCCCTAAAAGTAAAATATATGTGATTAGTCATGTATGCCTCACAAAAATATTAAACTTCTGATTGTAAAGATATGATATCTTTGTTCTACCTCAGCTAGTATTACATAATATTCAAAAGCATGAAGATGTTGGCTATAATCATTTTCTTCTGTCAGAACTGATTCAAGAATCCACTATATTTCAGGTATCCATGGTAGGAAGGTCTTATATTCAGAGAATATGACAGTCATACCACAGTTTCTGATTTTGGAACTTTGCTAAATTTGGCTAATTGACTGAACACATTACATACAACTATCAGAGATGAAGGGAGGATGGAATGGCAGTGGATAAAATAATGATCATGGGAATCTGTACTGTGACTGATAAATGCCATGACTCAGACACCTTGTCACAGACATTTTCCCCAATCCTCCCAAACATACTCAAAAGTATATACAGGCATGCCTCAGTTAACAAAGCCTCTGACAAAGAAGGAATGGGGTTGTACTGTAACTGATTTTATGTATGTGTCTGCTTATAAAAGCAAAGATAACCAGCCATAACATCCAGAACCACTTACTGAGTGTGCATGAAGAGCAAAACAGGAAACTACCCTATATATTCATGTATAAGTCTAGAATGGGAAAATTACGCTATATACTCATGTATAAGTCTAGATAAAAACCCAAAATCTTGGTCGACTTATCCATGGGTCACTGTGACCACTGTACCATAACTCTTATCAAAAAGGAAGCATGCCCTTCTCTTTTTAGAGTGGCAAAAATACAGCAGAGCTTGGTCCATCTCTAGAGAAGCACTGACTCCCATTTTTCTCTCTGTCGTAGTACTACTTTTGGCATTTTTAAATGTCTGGTGGAGAAATGGTGGTGGCCTCATAAGTCAGTGCTGGTGCTTTCTCCTCTCTGCAGAATGATCTTTGACTTCTCCACAGGACCATATCAAAATCCATAACTCTGCTACCCAAATCTGCCCTCAACTTATACATGAGGTTGACTGGTGTATACATGAGGTTGACTGGTGGGGAAATGGTGGTGGCCCCATAAGTCAGTATTGGTGCTTTCTCCTCTCTGCAGAATGATCTTTGACCTCTCCACAGGACCATATCAAAATCCATAACTTTGCTCACCAAAACTGCCCTCAACTAATACGTGAGGTCAGGCCCGTAGCCAGGATTTTGTTTAGGGAGGGGGCTGAGTTTGGTTCGAGTGAAAGAGGGTCTACCCTAGCAAACCTTTTGTATCGTTACCCCAATACCCCCATGCATATGGGATATATTGAGCATGGTGATCAGATCATGATATGAATAAACATAACAGTTTAAATAATGTACCAGTAAGGCCTTCTCGAAGACCACCATGAGAATTTTGGGGGGGGGGCTGAAGCCCCCCAAGCCCCCCTCCCCCGGCTACATGCCTGTGTGAGGTTGACTTAAACATAAAGGCCTACCTACCCCAAGGTATTAAAAAAGCATAGTTCTGACTATCAGAATAAGAATCAAATCAAAAGGGGTACCCGTGAAAGAAAAAAATATCTCTTGATGCATTTTGGAAAAACTCTCAAGAGGTCTGCACAAGGTTCAGGTTTCAGTCATCTCATTCTAAATGTGCATCTTTTTGCACTAGTCTTCTTTGCAGTGGAGGAACCTATCCATGTTATGTGCTTCTGCTATAAAAATGTTCTGTTTAAAAAGTAATGCTCAGGAACACACGTACCCATGTTAAATGAGATAGATTTGTATATATAATTCTTAAGCACATATTTCCTCCTAATCTTGTATGCTGGCCCTGCTGACATTTAAAACGTTGAAAACAGCTATCTCTGAAGTTTACAAGCAACGTGTTTGGAGGACATTAAAATGTTCAACAACTATGGGTGTTTCCACAATGTGTACCATGGAAGACCATTTTTGTCCCTGGGTCATAAATATCATTTCCTAATTGGCTCTATCAAAAAACATGGGAAAAGTTTATTAAATTGCTAAAACTTTGTTGTTGCAGGAAATCCTGAGCACATTTTGCTAGTTTTCCAATGCATATCTCATTCAGTCTCAGTCATTCAACATAGTTTGTGACAGCCTCAAAAACAAAATTTCTGGTGTTTAACTACTTTCAAAGTAAGTATCCTACAATTACTTATAGCAGTTTGATACTACTTTAACTACCATGGATTCTATGGATCTGTAGTTTGGCCAAAAGCTTCACTGCAATCAATATGTAGAGGAAGATGGAAAAACAGGAAGAAGCGCATGTTTCAAGTCAGATAAACCAAATCAGACCAAATATTCTGCATTATAGCTATAACCTCAGTCTAATCTACTTCAGAAATGTTATAAGGACCATGTGGTATGGAATATTGTATATACTTTCTTTACATAAAGTTTAGTGTAAATAATACAGAAGCATTCTGGATTTTGAATTCTTGTATTATACGTATGTAATGAGATATCCTGGAGATGAGACCCAAGTCTGAACACAAGATTTATTTATGTTTTATATATATCTTATACACATAGCCTGAAGGTAATTTTACACACAATCGTTCAGATAATTTTGTGCATGAAACAAAGTTTGTTCACATCAAACAATTACAATCTCAGACATCCAAGAGGAAATTTTTGGATTTTAGAGTATTTCAGATGTTGGGCTTCTGGATAAGGGACACTCAACTAATATGATCAAACTACTTAGATTTCTACCTTCACACTACCTACCTTTTTGTGGGGCATTCACTGAATTCAATGGTAATTCATTCTCTTTCATTAGTATTCCTACTCTTGCCTATGTAGTCATCAGGGTTTGTTTTTGTTTTGTTTTTTTAAATCCTCCCGTATTTAGTTTGATGCATGGTTACTTACAAACCTGGGACAATTCCAAACTTCTGAGTAATTGCTGCAGAAATTATTGGCTAGAAAGTCCTAATTGGATGCAACTACTTCATACATATTTTATAGACGATCTCTTCAGGAGAACATGCTGCACTCAGCATGACTAGTCAGAGAGAAAACAGCACAAGTAAGCAGTAATTATACCAAGAACAGGGGCATGTGGATAAAGAGAAAAATACCAGTTGCATCTAATGTTAATAAAGGAATCAAATATGTCTGGGCATGGAGAAAAGGAAAATAGTTCTAACATACTTGTTTCCATCCACAAAACAGAAACTAAGTTATGTGTTTATTTCAATGCCGGAAGTAGATTCAAGATCCAAAGATGGGCTGCAGAGATTCAAATCTAGCCTGTGTGTACAGTGGGCCTTTGAGATTGGGACTTGGTTCCAGAATCTATGGATACTTGAGCATGGAATGATATTCCGAAGCCCTGATCAAAATGAACATTGATGAATTGTTCCAATTTGCATCTGTTGTTTCCCCCCACCTCTGTTCCTAGTAAGTAGACCATCCCTGTAAGGGAGTGAATAGCAGATGCAGGGACTTTTCTGCAGTGTCCCAAATCCTTAGGATGTCCTTCCTCTTTGTTGGTTCTTAGAATTTTGAGGGTGCATTTATACGGCTTTGCAGATTGTGATTTTTAGAGTACTGTATCTTGAACTAATTTTAGAATACAATTATTTTATTTCTATTTTCAAATTATGTTGCAATTTGTTTTACTCTGAAAAGTTGATAAATGCATTAAATTATCACAATAAATAACCACACAATTTTATCATAGTTCTAAAAATTCTGATCTTACCTAGAACAAGTGAAGATCACTCACTCTAAAAATTCAACTCTTCATCACAATCCTGTACATAAAATAACTTAAACTTAATATTGCAGCCTTAAAGGAGCATGAATTTGAACTCCTTCTTGAAATGGATGCATGACTAGTTAGGCAGTTCAAGCTTATTTTATCAAGGTCTGATTCTATAACTGAAAAAAAGAAAATTCTATATAACTACAACCACAATCTCTTACCTCTAGAAATAAATAACCATCTGAAAGGTCATTATCTCTGAACAGATACTAGGAAAGGGGTGTGGCTTTCTGCTGTCAGCTACAAGTCAGCTCCTACTAAAGGTATTTTTTCTCAAGTTTACTCATAACGTCCCACCATATTTTAAGGTGTCAAACCAAAATAAGAGAAGTCAGACAAGCTTCTTCTCCCATCCGACACACCACAAATAGATCACGATCACATTGCAAAACTATCACTGTAAAAGTACTCATAATATTAATGTTCAGCAAAACTTTCATTCTCAGTGCTTCAAGTGCACATATCAGGAAAAAAAACCAATGATTGTCCACATATCACTTTGCAAAAAGAAAAAGAATCTTCTTGGAAATCGTGCTAATCTAAACCAACAAAGATCTTCAAAAGTCTGTGGCACCAGTCCATTCACAGGAGACACCTGTATTTCCTTGCCAAACTAGTATTATACAGCTCAAAATGCCTGCTGAAAAAAGGGCCACCTAGACCCCTTACACATAGCTGAATAAAATCCCACATTATCAGACAACCTAGGGCCCTTCCAGATAGCCCTATATCCTGGTATATCAAGGCAGAAAACCCCACATTATCAGATAACCCAGTTCAAAAGCAGATAGTGTGGGATTTTCTGCCTTGATATTCTGGGTTATATGGCTGTGTGGAAAAGCCCCTAGAGCTTCCATTGCTACTGCAGGGCTAACGCTAAAACACCATCTAATATGTCTTCCAGTCTTCTGTCAACTTATGACAGCTGTATGAATTTCATAGGGTTTCCTTAGGCATGGAATACTCACAGGTGGTTTTGCCATAATCTCCCTCAAAAATATAGTTCACAGCTCCTGGTATTCTTTGGGGGCATCCCACCCAAGTACTAACTAAGTCTGATCCTGCTTTGTTTCCAATATCTAGTTGCACCTGTTAAAGTGGCTTGCAGGGTTATACAATTTGGTTATGAATAAGCTACGGCTAATTAATATTTTTCCCCATTGCTAATGCAAGCATTATCAAATTAATTTCCAAATCTTTTGACTTCTCAGGTGTGGCTTGTTTACCAGCTATTCATAATAAGGTTT